CAAAGTCAATATCATTGATGCAATTTTTGCAAGCGTATTATTATTACTTTAAATTGTACAACAAGTTTTTTATTCCGTTCATAATAGAATTCCAATTTAAAGCAATGTGTATAGAATATGAATTGTACAGCATTGAATATGCAATAAAATGTGTATCTATACTCAACTATGCATATAAATCAACATATAAATCTTCTCTCTTCCTATATTTCAGCAAGTTTTCTTAATTATAAAAATTTACTGTATTACTAGAATATCAAATTTTCAATATTCAAGAATATTTTCCTAGCATAAAATTTGGGGTTCTTGAAAGTTTAATAACTTTTGGATTTCTTAAATTTTTGCTTAAATTGCAATTTCATTAAATAGCAAACGCTTCACTTGTTTTCCGAAAACGCACAACAAATTAGTGGCTGATTACATAAAAGACTGCTAACAAAGATTAATTCGAAACGGGGATCAAAAAATATCAAAATTTAAGGCAAACTCATCCATTTTAAATTCTGTTTAAATAAAATAAAATGATTTCCTACTCCAGTTACGTGTTTTTAAAATTTCTTATGAACCACGTCTATCACTTCGGTAATATTTACTGAAAAACAAATCGAGAAGCATCTTCTTTAAATTACAAACAACACAATTTCGCTCTATACCCATTTTGTGTTGTAGTTTATTGAAATTTCATCCTAGATACCTTAAAGTTAAAACGAAAGACTTGAAATTCTACCAATTATTATATAGTTAATTTAGTTTCGTTTAACTAACATTTCTTATTCTTCAATAATTTTTATTGAAGCCACAAAGTTGAAAATAATGAAAAAAACCAAAATTATCTAAAATAATTGTAAAAATATTTTCTTTTTCTTAAATGACTTTTTTCTCTAGTTTATTCTTGTAAATTGGAAAATTGACATCATTTAGATAAAAAACAAAAAAAAATAATAGAAACAGCTTTTAAATCGAAATCCTAATTGAAAATAAAATAAAATGCTATAGAAAAACAAAACTGGAAAATCATGAAAGTCATCTTCAATATTAGAAATTTGCAAAAAGAAAAGTTGGAAATTATTTTCTTAAATCATGTCGACATAAACATTTTCACAAAATAAGTACAAAAAAAAAATAAAAAACATAACCAAGAAAACCTGATCTGACCAAACGAAATTAGAAAATAGGACCAGATAAAAGAAGAAATTCATTTGGAAAGTCAAGGAGACTAAAAAGGAGATGGCAGCGGTGTGTATATGTACATATTGAAATATTAGATGAAACATACAAGAAAAACCAATTTAATTTTTCTTTTTTTTGCTGTCTGCATTTTGTTATTCCAATCGAATAAGCAGTCATCCTCATACAAGGAAATTTTTTTAAAGAAATTTTACTGTTTGTATTATTTTGTCTGTTTAAAATTATTTTTCTTCTTTTAATTTACGATTAATGTGGTTTATATACTGTTCGGTTTTTAGATCATGATCTCGATTCAAGAAATTGTTTTGTGAACATTGTTATTCAATGATTACACTATGATTTTAACATTTTTCCATACATTTAATATGTGTATCATCAACCATACGCCAGAAGCTACTTTGAGGCTAAAATAAGCAAAGTAATTTTATTTTGTTTTAAAAAGGTATTTTTAGTTTCAGTAGCTTTTATTTAAGCTATTGGCCTTTCTTCCATGCAAGCAGCGTTAGTAGCTAAAGGGATTCAAAAGTAAAGGGATTCAAAAAGAGGAATATAGTGCGTGAGTGACAAATTGAGAGAGGGATGAAAAAATTGTTTCTTGTATTAAACACTGATTTGATCAGTGTAAAAATATTCAAACTACAATTTTCATAATACTATGTTTTCTGTTCCATGAGGAATACAGCTAATTATTTTGTGCCATCAGCCAGAATTTTGCATAAAATCTTTTTTTATAAACAAATAAAATTTATGATTTTTTAAAGTGTTTTTTTCGGGAAAACTGCTTTCGAGAAGACTATAAATAAGTTGTTCTTTTTACAAGGGGAAAATTTAGGTCGAATTCAAAAAACAAAAAAAAACAAAATTAATGGAGACACGGCAAAAACAACAAAAGCATTAAGAGAATTTGCAAAAAAAAAAAAAAATATTTTTTCTAACTTCGTTTTTTCTTTGCACACACTTTCCCATAGTGGAAAAGGGGAAAAAAAATTCATTTGATTCCTTGGAGAATTTTTCATAACAACTGAAAGAAAATTGTTCAATTTAAAATTAATTTTTTACTGTTATATTGCAAAATTTTTCTTTTTCATCTAATTTTAGTTTTTTGATCTTGTATTTTTTGCATAAAAAGGTAAAATAGGAGTTCTTCAACACCAGTTAGATGTACCTACATGCCAATATTACGTGAATAATGTTATCGTATTCAAGTATTGAGCAAAAAATTATTATGTTCATAATATTGAACAGGCTCTTTTATACTAAAACTCAACCACAGACACGTGCAATAAAAGCAATAGCAAAATAAAATAGAAATTTAAAACATTATCTAGAAAAACTTATAAAATCAGGATGTAAGATAAGTTGATAAATTTTGTAAATTTAATTGTTTCTACACAAATTATGGCATCAAAAAATTTATATAAGTTTTTTAATCAGCCTTAATTATTCAGAACTTTCCCGTATATTTTCTCAAATTTCTTAGAATTTTCAAATTTATAATTAGTCAGCTTATAAAATAAGAATTTTCTTGTAGATATTGTTGTAATAGATATTGATGAATCGTATGAAATTTTCACATTTCAAATATCCCAAATTTCACCCAAATTGATTACTTTGTAACAAGTCAATTTTGAAAAGTAATGCTATTATGGAAGATGATTTCACTCAATAGGTTTGTTCAAAATTAATTTCTACCTTTATTGTAGTTGACTTCCAAAGTCGACATTATAGATAAATGTGACTATGATAGAAATTCGTAGTAGCCATTATAGTATTAAATCGATTTGACGGATAAAGCCATTTTCGAAACGACTTCCATAATTGAGCCATAATTGAGTCAGAAATTCTTATCGTTAAAGAAAACGCATTGTGTTATATCTAATATGAAAATTTTACTCTGAATATATTGCTATTGTATATTTGTATATTCACATGCCCATAAATATTTTTATGGTTTTTCAATAGAGGTATCTTTTGTATAATATATACGAAATCTTGCAAATTTGTATATGTGTGCAAAGATTCATAAACAAATAAAAACAAATAATGTAATTTTAACCTTGTTAAAATTCGCAAGACAATTTTAATATTAAAATTTTTTTCAATTGAACATATAAAAAAATCAACATGTTGGCATCAATAAAATTGAAGCCCGTCTTCATAATGGTCTGCAGTTTTGCACGCAGGTTTAAGAGATATTTACATATTTGGAACTCGGAATACACATGTATTTAAGATCGAAATAATTTTGAAAGTGGAAACTTCAATAAGTCCTGGCTTAACACAATGACCTGAAAATGACTGGTTCATATCCATTTAATTGATAAATTAACCGTAATTATCATTGTAAATTACAATAATTTCGCAATGATAGATATATAATGTAGAAGCAAGACACAATATTGTAATTGTCTTCACATATTAAAATAAAATAAATTCTAAAATGCACTAAAAGTGTCTCAAAACCTAAATATCACAATATCTATAACCCTGTTACACTTACCCAATAAAAAAATCAATAATTTATTAGTTTCTATTGCCAAAACATCATATTATTATAAAGAGCCCTATGTGAATGCCAAACACAAATTTTCTATACAACATTTTCTTATATCCTCTTGATCTCATTTCAATATTTTATAAAACAAAATTAGAACATTAATCAATAGATTTCCTCTTTCACATTTTAGGAAAAAAAAACAAGAAATAATATCAAAGGTGTTTTTAATAAATCTTAGTTAATGGAATAAAAATAAAAGCCGGTCCAAAAACATCAAAATTTCAATAAAAATTACATAGGAAAAGGACATTTAAAGAATGATTGTAAAAAATTACTCTTGCTATCAGAACAGAAGATTGAAAACAGAAATTGTTTGTATAATTTTTCATTTTTTCAGGATGAAAAATTTATTGCTTAAGATTTTCATATTATTTGCTCTTTCCTTTCAAAAACCTTTTTCTTTAATTGTTTTGTGATATTAGGAGTGTGATAACATGGTATACAGGCAGGTCTATACCATGTCATCACACTCCTCTTGTCTCTTTGAGCGAAATTGAGCTTAGTCAGTTATTAAAAGCATTCCATAACTTTTAAAAAAGTCAATAAACTGAAATCTAATGTATCTTATGTGCCTGTATTCGACAATGTAAGCAAAATGTTTCTCCTGCACTACAATGTAAACTGCCCTTCCAAAGAATTTCAAATTAAATTGAATTCTTAAATGAAAATTCGTTTGAATTTCATTTAGAATAATTAAATGCTAATTAAACGTTGGGTTTTTTTAATATATTATCGAAGAAGGTACAAAAATCGCGGAAGGTAGTTAAAAAAAATGTTAGCCAAGTCAAATTTACATATTTTCTTTTCGTTTTAGAAAATTTTATTTCTCGCAATAAATAAAATTTATAATTACCTTGGCCCTTATTATACACGGTCATAAATTAATTTTGTTTTTTATGGAAAGTAAAATAATTTTCATTAAAATGTTAATTAAAAACGCTAAAAATTATAATGGACGCCAAAAATTTGAAATCCTTTTTAAAATAAGAATTACGAAAAAAATATTGGAAGTGCCACATTTATAGAAAGGAACAATTTTTTCAATTATAGGGTAGTAGAAATTTATAGAAAAATCTGCCGAAACTATTTCAAATTAATTTATTGAAGAATTATGTAAACTGCTGTAGATTTCTCGATTTCATAATGTCAAAATTATACAAAATTAAAGAACAGAAATCAATATCGAAATTTCGCTTTTGCAGAACAATCCAAAAATTTACAAAATTGCCAAATACGATTATTTAAAAAATTATACCTTATTTTCGCTGTAAAACATTGCCAAACTTATGTTAACTCTGCCTAGATACAGCTAAAATACGTAAGATGATTCAAAGCTTTCAATACTTTTGAAAATCAGCTAGTAACTCACCTGAAATAAAAAACGAAAAGGGGTGAATTAATAAATTTTTACAAAAGTTTCAAATTCATATTTTTTTTTAATTTTATAAGTTAAAACTATTAAGTTAAGAAAAAAAAAGTTTCGACTAAAAGTGTGGCATCAAGTTGGCCAAAACGGTCATGTCTCAATATTTCACAGTTTTCCTAAGCCAAAGCTTTATATCGGAAAACTGACCAAGTTTCATTTACGTATTTTCGATTTTTCATTTTATTCCATTCATTATTTCCATAAACTCTTTTCATTGATTCAAAAATTTTCTTCTTGTGACGTGATAAGTTGTATAACAGTTGGCTCTTAGGTAATAAGTACGTAATAATAATTATTATGAAATCGAAATTAGAATAACGTTTATTAGACGAATTAAGTCACAACCATTTTGTTCATTCTCAGCGCGCTGTTTTTTTTGCATTGTTTTTCAATTATCATTGTTAAAAAATATTGTTTCGAATTAATTAAATTACTTTGCACTTTTTTTTCAATTTAAAACTCGATTAAATAAAACATTATTGATTTTGTGTTTTTCTTTTACGATATTTGAAGTTGAAGTTCAAGGTAAATTTTAAAAGGAAAAAATTTTGAATCAATTAGTTTTGTAACAACCACACTTTTAATTTGTAATCGTATTGAAAAATCTAATATTAAAATAAGTGATTAAGAATAGGAAATTGTTTTAAATAGTAAGTGTCTGTTCTTGTTTTTGAATAAGCAATGAGTTCATTGTTTTACAATGGTGCTCCTCATTTTAATAACGAAAACATTTTACGATGATACAAGGTATGTTATTTCAATTAATGAGTTGATCATAAGGAAATATACATGTAGAGTCACTGTTGGAGTTCAACAAAATTAATTGTAATAGCAAAAATAACATCGTCAAATTGTAATTGGCTGTTTTAGTCATCGCCAGTAAAAACAATATCGAATTATAGCTCTCATTTCATTATTAGATTTCATATTTTTAATTAAGAATAATATAATGATTCAATCATGTAATAGATAATGATTAATATCGATCGAATTTAAATTTGTCAGTATAACAGAATCTATTGCATTTTCAAATTGTAAAATAGGATGATTATGACGTACTTTAATTCATTTTTGAAAAAAGCAATTCACATACAATCCTATTAGAGTAAAATAGTCGAATATAAGCTCTAAACTTATAACATAATTAAAATATTTGTCGACTGTGCGAATGCAATCTCTTGTAACTCTTAAAACATCATAAACTAAAAAAAATTTCTTTCTTAAATTTTATAAAACGTATCCCTTCCTTCTATCTTTCTCATCACGCATTTTTACTTTAATTTTGTTTACAGTAATCTCAAACCTCACAACTCTCAAATACACGATGTTTTAAAAGCGAATTGCTTTAGAACTTTGAACAACTTTTTATGAATATTCAATTTCATATTGATTAAGAACGTTTTTTTCGTCGCTAGTATAGTTTAAATTTTGTGTGATTCGAGATATTGAAATCGAATTCATATAATGGTGCAGCTTGTCATATATGTACATAGTATCATTGCCGAACTTTCATTAAAAATAAAACTCAAAATTTTTTATTTTTACAATAGAAACAAGGAAAGATAGCTATGGCCATTGTTAGAACATATAAAAACCACCCAAATTTTTCAAATTATTTATCCCGTTGCAAAAGCTGTTAATGCAAAATTTAGTAACTCTATATGCTTTAATGTTTATCATTTGCATAGCTCAATTCGTTTTCGAGTTATCGCTGAATTGGACATCGGCAGACTTTGCTAAATCAACTTAGAATTCAAAAAATACTACTTTCAATCAACTAAATCAACTTTGCAATTTACTTATAAAAAATACAGTAAATTTTACATAAAATATAGAAGAAGGCTATTTCTTTGTGTTACAAACAGAGTGATAAATTTATAACACCTTTTGAGCATTCATTCGTACGGATATAAAAACTGATTTATAAAATAAACCTATATTAAATATGATAAAAGTTTTCCAAGGTCTACAAGGTAACACTGATAAGGTTGGTCTAAAGAACAGAAAAGTTTTGTTAATGGGAAAACTTTTATGATTTTCTTTCTTAAGTTTCGGCCTTTTAAATGTATTTCTCTTACAAATTATCCTTTTCTTTTTTGATTTTTCTGCACGTGTATACACAAAATGCTATAAAAATTTTTCCTAAAGAAAAATTTTCATAAACGTTTAGGTAAGTTTTCTAGTTTGAATTTTTAGTTATTGTTTTTGCTTTTTTACGTTGAACTAAAATTAAAAACTTGCTATGGAAATGATTTCTAACATCCCATTGATTGCAGTCTTATTATAATGTACAATATTACAATGTAATGGCTTATATATATGTATACTATAAAATGGACATGTGTACGAATTTTTTGAAATACACAATAACACATATTTACATACATGTATTCGAATACCTGTGTAGCCATTTGTTTTATATATTACAATATTGTATCTTGTTACAAAGCTTTGAATGCTTTTGTACTGCAATTAAGTTATTAAGAAAGTTTTGAAAAAAGTTTTACATTTTACAGATGAAGGGCTGGCATATGAAATTTTATCGCATTGTATCTGTGTATATCTAATACTCGTATTGCAAAACCTTCTGATATTTTTTCTTGAATTTCAAATTTTAGGAACTTTTAACAAAGGTCTTTCTTTAAAATGGTAGAATTGATGAAGGATATCTTCTTTTTGATTGGGTTTTCTTTTAGGGTGACCACTTGCTTATCACAAATTAGATTGGAATATTATTCTAGGAAAAGATTGAAACAAAAGCTAAATTTACAAAATTTTACAACATACATGAAAAAAGCAATATTCTACAAGAAGTTTTAAGAAGCACTGAAAATCGCCCAATGTTTCCGGCTTTTCAAATTTACAGTTTATGACTACACCAAATAAAATATGGTTTTTGTAGTCACTTATCTATATCCAAGTATGTATATTTATACCACCATAAAAGCTGCCAGTTTATCAGGAAAAGTGTGCTTAATCCATATTTCCATAATGTGAGATTACTCAAGCAAAATTTCGATTTCGTTGCAATAAAATCGAAATAGAATTTCATATTTCGTTTATTACTCACAGTCGTAATTTTGATTTTTTATAGGCAATCAAATTATTTTCTTTATTACACCGTTCGAAATTCTTGTCATAAGTAGGAAGTAAAAAAGGAACCTGTTGTAGTTTTTGAATTACATACATTTGACAATAAAATATAAAAAATTTTATTGTGATTATTTATTCTACTTGTTACATAATTTTTATTTTTATGAATTATACGTGAAATTTATGATAATAATTATTGAAAAAAAATGAAATTATTAATTTGATTAATGAACTTTTGCACAGAAAATGTATTTAAGATTATCAATTTGTTCTTCCTGACATTATAGTCAAGAGGTAGGACGAAAAACTTGTGCCCTGTTATTTTTAATTCAAAAGGTTTTCAATGACAAAGTTTTATTTTGGTTTTAAAAACTTATATGCCATACATCATAAAAGCTATAAAGTTCAACTAAAAATCGAATAAAATTTCGAAACTATGGCCGCCATATAACCCAAATACCATTGCTCAGCTGGTTACCACTAATTACTCAATTCTTGAGATATAATAGTTTATTCTGAATATTTTTGTAATAAATTTGTGAAATATCAGTTTTTTTGTTTTTTTTTTCAAAATACGCTGTTTATAACATGCCATGTGCTTATTTTTCAAATAACTCAAGGAAGTTTTTATCTCTGATTTGCATTGTAAAGGATTATCTAAAATCTAAAGGTGTCTTTAATGCTTACGTTGCTAAAAATAATCGAACAAAATTCAACACAATGAGATATGGTATTACAATTATTAATGATATCATATTCCTCCCCCATCATATAAAAAATTTCCTAATTAATGTACTGACAACAAAAATTATATACATCCTTCCTATAGAAAGTGCCGCAACTAAAAATCAATTTAAGGTGATTTCGAGGTTAAAGCATATTCAATGATAGTTCTAATTCTATTCGTGTTTCTAAAAAATACTAACTATAGTAATTATCAATTAGTTAAAGAGTATAAACGGAAAGTTTCATCGAAAATATTATAAATTATTTACCTCTCTACACACTTACAGCTACGCAATTAAAAATGTACAGAATAAATTAGAATACAAAGTATTCGAAATTTTGTCTATGCCGTGATTTTGAAAGTATATAAATTACAAAAAACTTTATGATTTACCTTATGATACGTAAATGTATGTAGATTAAATACACTTATATTCAAGTACATACACATAAAAATAAGAAACAAATCCGTTTTATCGTAAATAAAATAGTAAGGAAAATCTATAATAATAAAACATTAAAATAGCAGTTTACCACGCGAAGACTATAAATTTTACCTTATTTAAAATTTTAATTATAGAGAACTAATAAAAAAATTTCAAGTATTTTTCAAATATTTAAAGTTATTCAAATTCATTTATATAGAATTTAATATTATTATAATTGTTATAAGTATATCAAAATTTTAAGAATTAAGGATCGACGCTCAATTATCACTCAATTTTAATATTTTGTTTTATAATTTCACTATTTGAGTATAGTGGAATTTAAACACTATGTACCTACAATAAAAAACAAGGATTCAAACCAAAAAACTTTCTCCTAAAGCAACTAAGCATTTTTCCGTGTTTTCCGTATAAGCCGTGTTTCGGTTCTTTAATGACTTTTCCGTGACACCGTAATCAGAGTACAAAGTTATACAATATTTCCGTTCCAATAAAGAGTGCTCTGAGAGGGTTTAAATTTAAAGACGTTTGATAAGAGAGAATTTTCCTTTGCCTTGCAAATGCATACGTAAAAGAAACTAC